TTTTTTTTTTTTTTCGGTTTGCCTTTTGCTGAGGGGCCGAATTTCTCTTTATTTTTTGTTGGGATTCGAATTTTGGTTCGAATTTTCCCTTTTATTTTTCGTGTCTTTAAAAAAAAGTGTCATCTAGTCCTTTGTTTGATTTTGTTCGGTTATTACCTTTTGTTTAGGGGCCGAATTTCTCTTTGTTTTTAAATTTTTTCGGTTCGAATATTTTTTCGAATTTTTCTTTTTAGAGTCTTAAAAAAAAAAGAGAGTCATGATGTTACCATTAGAAGAGTGGGATCAAGAGGATCTTGAATATTTGGAAGGATTGGAGAGGGAATTAACCCCTTGGGAGCGAGATTATTTGGAGGAGATGTACGAGCAAAAGGAGAAGTATGAAAGACAACTCAAGATCAGGGAGGAAGAGCAACAAGCCGAGGCCGATGAGAAGTTCCCAGGATTGTGCGAAAAAGAAGCCGAGCGCATGGGTGAGCAAGTCTCGATGAGGTTAGATGAATCTCCTATTGTCAATGTATACCCCGAGGAATACCTTGTCGAGGTTAAAGTCGAGGGAACCTTGGTCGGATCCAAAGAAGTCGAAGTGGCCGAGGTCATTGGTGCGATCTTGGTCGTGGGTGATGGGTGCAAAACGTATGCGCGGGAACGGTACGCGCAACACATCGAGGTCGTGGCTGGAGGATCCGAAGTGCTCGCAGTCGGACAAGATATGTTGGTCGCGGTCGAAGCGGGCCATGATGAGGAGGCGTACGCACAGTACAGTGTGGATGTGCGTATGGTCGATGAAGGAGTGCCCGATGTTTGGATGGTCGAGGATGGATCCTTGAGGACAAGGAAAGTCTCGAAGAGGAGGGGAATGATACGGAAGTGGGTTCCGGACCCCGATGACAAGAAGATCCAAGAGGCGAGACGACCTGATGAGGCTGGAAAAAGGGCCAAAACGACACATGCATGGCCTAAAAGACGAGTACGAGCGTGTATGCGGGACAATCAAGCACGTGGGAAGCGGCACGTACAAGGAAATAGACAAGGGCGCGCACACGCACAATGGCGTAGACGTGCATGGCGTTTGGAGATTAGGCAAAGTGGCGCGCAGGGGAAGGTTGTTGGGTGGATGGCGCGCGAGGGGGATTGCTATGGGCAAATGAACGCAGGTGCGAGCCAGCAGCGCGCATCGGGACTTGATGCGCGCAATTGGCCCAGTGATCGAGCAAGAAATACGCGGGCGATTGGTGCACGGGTCGAGGAACGCGATGAGGAGCGCACGCGGGTAGTGCTGGGAGTACGAGGGTGCACGGCAGTCGAGCAGGCCGCGGGCGTTAGCGGTACGCGCGAAGTAGTGGACGACAGGCGTGCGGGATGCGCTGGGCGCGCGTGATACGGAAGTGGTCATCAACCCCGGTGAGTCCGACAATGATGATGGCGATGATCTTGATATTTGGGTGGAAAATATGTTGGAGGCGCCATCAAGTCCTATTTACCGGCCATCATGTGTACAAGATTGGCCAAAAGGTTGTAGGCCAAAGCTGAAGTCGAAGATCAAGAAACGGACGACCAAGAGACAACGCAAAGCACGGGCCCGAAAAGCAAATCAATTCAAGTGCGAGCCTTGTGCAAAGAAAAGACAAGTTCAAAAGAAGAAGGCTAAAAGGCGTGGCTTACGATGGGAGAAGAATGGTTGGTGGATACCGGCGGATGATTGTGTGAGATTAAGGGGTTAGGATCCATGGCCCGAGCCGACGGGAACGAGCGGTAGCAAGGACGACAATGATCGGCTAATGGGCGAGTGGCGCGCATCGGCCCATGATGCACGCGGTTGGACCGAACAGGCTACACACGGAGACACGACACGCGATCAGGCCACGGGGATGGGCGGTACAGCGGACAATGCATGGTTGCGGACCGAATGCGCGAAAGGCGAGCGCGAGGTCATTGATGGCATGCGCGAGACGACTGGAGCACGTAGGCAATTGTAGTGAAGGTATTGGCTGGGACGAGTGGGAGTTGGCCAGCTGCGGCGAAGCGCGCGACGAGCGTGCAAGTATGGGTGACGAGGCGTACGCGCGCAAGGAGCCGGGCAGCAGCGCGAGTACCAGCGACGCGGGCGAACGCCTAATCCGTGTGGGCATAGGCCTAGCTGGCGGCGATGACGAGTACGCGCGCGGGAAGGTTGGCGTTGGCAGGATGCGCGTGACAACACGCGAGTGCGGGGCATGCGAGCGAAGCCCAATCCACATGGGCCTAGGATTGGCGGCTGGGACATGCGCGGGTGGCAGCAACGCGCTGGGCGCGATACACGGACGGACAGCGTGCGCGATAGGCGCCGCGTGCGAGACAAGCGCGCGGGTTGCCGCGTGCCATGAGGAATAGGTAGGGGCGAGGCGGCGCGCGCATACGCGTAAAAGGTGCGCGACACATGGAAAGGGCCGAAGTGTTTTAGCATGTGGGGAATTTTAGGGAGCTTCTAGATTTGCTTGGAGTGCAAGCCAAGCAATAGTTATTTGGTAGGTTTAGGATTTTATTGCTTTCTAGACTTAGGATTTCTATTCTTGCAAGATTTAGGAGATCTATTAGATTTGGGCATAGATTTATTTTACAACTATAAATACCCCATGTACCTCATCATATTTGACATGTTGAAGGAATAATTGAATTGGTGAGCCAATTGAGGGGGAACTTTATGTTCTTAACGTGTGATAAAGAAGGCCATTAGTGCGTCTTTACATGTAGTGTCGGAGAGAAGGCCAATAGTGCGTC